TGTGCAGTCGGTATTATTCAGTTCATGTGGTGCAATCTCTGTTGTGAAATGAAAGCGGTGCAAAACATGTGTGTGGCCGGTGTTGAGCAACATGTGTTGCCAAATCCGTGTGGTGCAACCTACGTTGCGCAGCTTTACGTTGGGTACCGCACACATATACATACACTTGTTTACATGTGCATGTTGTGCATTCTATGTGGTGCAATTGACTACCCTGCACCGCGCTTGACCACTCCACTGCTCACGCAAACATCCCACCCACCCACCCGCAACTTGGTTCGCAAAATCTCTTAAGACCGTGACGGTGGGTACCGAATGGCACTTGCCAACGACAGCGACGCCGACGACGACAGCGACAACGACGACGACGACGCCGCCGACAACGACTACGACGACACCGACGACGTCTCCAACGACTTCGACGACGCCGACAACGACGACGACGACGACACCGACGGCGACGCCAACGCCGACGACGACGACGCCGACGACGATGACAACGACGACGACGACGATGACGCCGACGACAACGACAACGACGACGCCGACGACGACGACGACGACGTCAACGACGCCGACGACGACGATGACGACGACGGCGGCGACGACGACGACGCCGACAACGACGACGAAGACGCCGACGCCGACGACGACGAAGACGAAGACGACGTCGCCAACGAAGACGACGACGAGGGAGAAGGGAGGACGACGACGGCGACAACGGCGACAACGACGACAACGACGAGGGAGGAGGGAGGACGGCGACGACGCGAACGACGAAGAAGGAGGAAGGACGGCGACGCCGACGACGGCAACAACGAGGGAGGAGGGACGACGACGACGACGACAACGACGACGACGACGACGGCGACGAAATAGGAGGGACGACGACGAGACGCTGACGACGGACGACGACGACGACGAGGGAGGAGGAGGAAGGACGACCACTGCGACAACGACGACGGAAACGACTACGACGCCAAAGAGGACGACGACGACGAACACGAGGAAAGACATAGGACGACGTAGGCGACGACGACGACGACAACGACGCGGGAGGAGGGAGGACGGCGACGACGACGACGACGACGCAAGATCGCGCGCGCACGCTTTTGTTGAAAATCCGTGTTGCGAAACCTTGGGTTTTTGTAGGTTTTTTCGACGCGCGATTTCGAAATCCTTCCGAAACCGATGGGTTTTGAAGGATTTCGGTGCACGCCCGCGACCACGCGCGCGTCTGCATTTCGTCATATTTTTTGCAGAGGATTCTCGCGACGGCACACGCGCAAGGGCGTTCGACAGATTTCGACATGCGCGCGCGCGAAGCTTGTTTGGTAGCATTTTGTGAAAATCTTGAACAACCGATGGTTTTCTTAAGATTTCGCCAGAGCTCGCGGAGAGGCTTTTTTAGCAACTCAGCGTTGCGAAACCATGTGTTTGTGTATGTTTTTTTTGGAAACTCGATTGCGGAATCCTTCCGGCACCGAAGGTTTTTGAAGGATTTCGGCATGCGCGCGCGACGACGCGCGCGTGTGCACTTCGTTTCATTTGTTGCAAGGGATTCGTGAAAAAGTGTTATGTTGGAACAAAAATGTCACCGCATAGTGTTTTTTACAAGGGACCCTCAAGGGGGGGGAAACCGGCCTGCCTGGGATGAGATGATCTCATATTTAGGATGGACGAGTGTGCAGAATATATATGAAACTATAGTATCCCAGGGGGAAGCGTTAAGTCGGGGGGGGGGGTCGAGTTTATTCTTTTTTTAGAAAGGAAACTCTAACAGTGGCGACGAGCGGCGACGGCGGCGACGGGGCGGCGGCGGCCTCGACGGGGCGGCGATTACACAGCCGCCAGACCGACAGGCAGGCCCAGTTCCTTGGACCAGAAGTAAGAGTGGAGCAATCTATATGGCGCAATCTACGGTATGCAACTCACTTTGATGGTCTTGAAGCTGTCCTCTCCACTGCTCGTGCAAACATCCCACCCTCCCACCCGCAACTTGGTCACAAGATTTCTTCAGACCGTGCTGGTGGGTACCAAATGGCACTTGGCAACGACAGCGACGCCGACCACGACAGCGACAACGACGACGACGATGACGCCGACAACGACTACGACGACTCCGACGACGTCTCCAACGACTTCGACGACGACGACAACGACGACGGCGACACCGACGACGCCGACGCCGACGACGACGACGACGACGATGACGACGACGCCGACGACGACGGCGGCGACGACGCCGACGACGAGGACGACGATGCCGACGACGACGATGACGACGCCGACGACGACGACGCCGACGCCGACGACGACGCCGACGACGACGACGAAGACGACGACGACGACGACGTCGCCAACGAAGCTGACGACGACGACGAGGGAGGAGGGAGGACGCCGGCGGCGACGACGACGACAACGACAAGGGAGGAGGGAAGACGGCGACGTCGACGACGACAACGACGAGGGAGGAGGGAAGACGACGACGACGACGACGACGACGGCGAGGAAATAGGAGGGACGACGACGAGACGCCGACGACGGACGACGACGACGACGAGGGAGGAGGAAGGACGACCACTGCGACAACGACGACTGAAACGACGACGACGCCAAAGAGGACGACGACGATGACGACGAAGACGACGAGGAACGACAGAGGACGACCACGACGACGACGACGACGAGGGAGGAGGGAGGACGGCGACGAAGACGACGACGCAAGAGCGCGCGCGCACGCTTTTGTTTAAAAACCGTGTTGCGAAACCTTTTGCTTTTGTATGTTTTTCGGGCACTCGATTTTGAAATCCGTCCGAAAACGAAGGTTTTTGAAGGATTTCAGCATGCGCGCGCGACGACGCGCGCGTGCACTTCGTCATTTTTTCCTGTTGCAGAGGATTCTCGCGACGGCACGCGCGCACGGGCGTCCGAACAATTTTCACGTGCGCGCACTAAGCCCGTTTGGTAGCATTTTTTTGGAAATAGCGAAAATCATTTGGTTTTCTTTAGATTTCGCAAGAGCGCTCGCGCAAGCTTTTTTTCGGAAACCAGTGTTGCGAAACCGTGTGTTTTTGTATGTGTTTGGGGAACTCGATGTTGAAACCCTTCCGACACCGAAGGTTTTTGAAGGATTTTGGCATGCACGCGCGACGACGCGCGCGTGCGCACTTCGTCCCATTATTTGCAAGGGATTCTTGAACACTTATGATGTTTGGTTTACGAGTGTGCGCGCACAGTTGATTGCAGAGGATGGCGGGGGGGGTGATACAGGTTTGGCTAGGATATTATGAGTTCACAGGTAGGATGGACATTGGGTCGGAATCCTATGTGTGTTGCATCGCTTCCCTGGGGGTCTTGAACCCCGGGGGGAGGATGGTAGAACCTATTTTCTCGTCAGAAAGGAGAATCTACGATTAGCAATACATGTTGTGGAATTTATGTGGAGCAATGTATGTTGTGCGATCCAGGTGGGACAATACCTGTCGTGCAATTGATGTGGAGCATTATATACGGTGCCATATACGTGATGCACGCAATGGTGTGCAACCTTCCGCTGTGAAAGTTATGTTGTGCAATGTATGTGGTGCAGTCCTTGTTGTACAATATATGTGGTACAAAATATGCTTCTCAACCTCCGTTGAGCAATATGTGTTGAGCCATATGCGTGGTGCAATCTATGTTGTGCAACGCATGCTGTGCAATCTAACAGCGGCGACGGCGGCGACAGGACGGCGGCGGCGACATAGCCGCCAGACCGAGGGACACGCCCAGGTACGAGCCGCGACGGGGCGACGACGGCGACCACATAGCCGCCAGGCCGAAAGACAGGCCCTGGTACGGGCGGCGGCGACGGGGCGGCGACGGCGACCTCAAAGCCGCCAGTGACAGACAGGCCCAGTTCCGTAGACTAGAAGTATGAACCCAGGAGTCTAAACATTGTTTGGGGGAATCTGACTTCAGCCTCTTCGGGCCCTGTTGGGGGGTCCTCTTGTGGCCCTCTTTGGCCGTCTTGGGGGCCTCGTTGGCTGCCTTCAGGCCATCTTGGGCCGTGTTGGACGCATCTTGGGTTGTATTGGAGCATTTGGTTGCCTTCCTCGGCCGTCTTGGAAGCTCGGGAACGCATATCAATTGTTTTTACGAGGGACCGCGGATTACAAATTTAGAACAGAGAATTCGAAGGAATCTGAGGACATCTGTGTTCGTGACACCGCTATCCCTCTCAGCTACCGTTCCCTTCAGCCGAAATTGTTGTTCTCACTATGTGTTTCATTGTTTATTTGATCGCGTCGCTCATTCCGCCGGCCCTGGAGCCCTCTTTAGGGCCTCTTGGGGGCCTCTTGGAGACCTCTTGAGAGTCTCTTGGGGCTCCTTGGCGGCGTCTTGGGGGCCCCCAGGGCCTCTTGAGGGGCTCTTGGGGGCCTCTTGGGACAGGAGGGGGGGGGTAGTCGATTGCGGCTCCCCCCCTCGGAGGCCACGATCCTCGTGAGGGGTGTCGAAAAAATGCCCAGTCCGGCATCTCTGACCCGACCATGCCGGGACCCTCCCAGGACTTGCCTGGGGTACTTTCGCCCGGGGACCCCCAGAGGCCGCCCCGCGCGCGCGAATTAGAAATATTGTTAACCAGTTACCGGAGATTTTAGCACGCCTTTGGCCCGTTGGGCCGGCGAATTTCATTATGTCTCTCCCCCTCTCTCTCTCAGTACTGACTCGAAGATCGCGACATTGCCACGATGTCCACAACAGTTTTGGTTACGACAGATGCGACTACCGCAAACAGTGGGTCGAAGAATATTGGCCACCCTCGTTATGTATTGGTAGGTTTCCTGTTGGTGCTTCCCCGTGCACGACCAGTGGTGAACATATATTGGACATGATATGGGTCATGGCACACTCTCAGAGGTCAGGGGGGTCTTCCGAAACAGAGGATTGTGTTCTCCTTTCGGCAAAGCAGTGGGGCCTCGTCAATGCTGCGTTTTCTCTGCGTGTTTGCATGGCAGGTCGGCGAGTGTCCGGTACAGATCACGTCCATCGCGGAGGATGCCAACCCTAAGGTGGCTGAGTTTGGCGAGGACAGGTGAGGTTGCAGAGTGGATGGCAGGCGTACTTGTTGGTCGTCGAAAGTAGTTATTTCTGAACTTCCAGATCCCAATGTACGTGAGGCGCCTTTCTACTTCAAGAATCGGACGGTTGTCCCTCGTCCCTCCTCTTCATGGGGCGAGCGGAAGCCCAATCAATTTTCGCCGCCATCCTAACTCATGCTTCTATCCATCTCTTCCGACCGACGCGTAATGGCGGCAGGGCAGGAGGTCGGAATCCATGGCGTCTGGGTCGTCGCGCTATCATCGGGTGCCGTGTCTTGTCCACCATTGGTCCGCTGTCTTCAGCAACTTGGCACGGCCGTTGCCTCATCCTCCCAGTGGACGTGCGCGTCGTTCGATGGAGGCAGCTCTGCCTCGACGGCGCTTCGCGAGAGAGGCTCGTGTACAGAAGAGCGTCTCCGGTGCCCGCTGGTCGGGGTCCCAGCGGGTGGCGCTCTTCTGCCGAGCTCGGGGCTGTGTCAGTGGGAAGTCCGAGCCAGGGCTCGACCCGAGCGGTCTTTGGGCGATGTCGTGGGCAGTTTTTCATGTTGCTTTCGCTCTGCAGCGAAGGCGGAACGAAGACAAACCGGTGGCCCATTAAAGTAAGACGAGCACGGAAGCCATCGTTTAGGCCGAGCTTCGGTCAGGACTGGGTGTGTGTGGATATCCCATTGCTTGCGGCAAGTAACGCTACCGTGCCAGTCCAGCACCTTGGGTGGCGACTGTTCGGGGGGCGCAGGAGGCCGTGACGTGCGAAACTCTTCCGCGTGGTGTCGGGAGTCACCGCTCGTCTTCGGCGTCTTCTTCCATTTCTTCCGTCCTTTCTTGGGCTCCTGTGGGGCAGTCGTTGGGGTCCTTCGGGCCATTTCGGGCCGTCTCCGTGCTCTCTCGGGCCGTCTTGGGGCGCTCCTAGCTGCCTGGGGGGGTCTTTTGCGGCCGTATTGGGATTGTCTTGTGCCGTCGAGCAGCTCTCTAAGGCCGCATTGGGTTCCTCGAGAGGCCCTCTTGGGCCAGTTGTTCTGCTCTCTTGAGGCTGTCTAGGGCCCCTCTTGGGCTGTCCTGGGGCCGTATTGGATGATGATTTGACTATTTGTGGGCCGCCGTGGGGCCATATTGGAGGCATCTAGGGCCGTATGGAGCTGAAGAAAGCCCAAAAAGAGTAGACGCGAAATTGTGTCAACAATAACACTTGGAATCGTATATTCGGGTCCTTCTTGGGGTCCTCTTGTGCTCCTCTTGGATTGTATTGGGGGTCCCTAGGGCCGTCCTGAGCCTCGGGGGCGCGAACCCATAGTTTTGCTTCAAAGAAGAAAGGGGGGGAGATGCACGCGGCTGAGTGCTGCGAATGGGGGAGATTCCCTAGAATAGTGCAGAAAGCCTATCAGAATACCGCGCCTCAACGTGCCAGGGCGCGGTGGCGGATCATGGCCCCCTCTTCTCGGCGGCGAGGCTATGGGGGAAGTCAGAGGGAGAAGGCCTTCTCAGGAGGCGACGGGATTTATTAGAAACCCTCGCACCTTCTGATAAATTGTCCTTCGGGGAAGGCTTGGAACATTTTTCAGAAGGCCCGAGATTTTCCGAGCCTTCTGAGAAGGCCCGCCCCCCCCTCATTTCCCCCACCTTTCGACACGCCCGCTGTCGCCTCAACGCAGGCCACTCTTCCGCTCTTCCGGCTTCGGAGCGGCACTGCCGCCTCGAGGCTGGCAGCACCGCCCGCCAGCCTCTCGTGGTGCTGGTGTTCTCGCGTGGGCGCCCGCGGAACTCCCGGCTCGGATGTGCGCCCCCCGCCTCATCGTGGGCGCGGGGATGGCCGCCGTTGCCGAAGGCGCCGAGGGGCCCGCCTCTGCTGAGGCCCCCGGTGCCTTGGCCGCGGCCCCCGCGGCCGAGGCCCCCAGCGCGACGAGCTGGCCGCGCAACGCGCTGTTCAGGCCACGCGGCCCGCCGACCGGCGACCCGGAAGGAATGCCTTGGGGTCTCGAGGGACGGGGGTCGATGCAAACGGGGTCAGCCAGAGCGCCAGATTTTGCAGGATCTTGCAGACCCAGGGCTGCACTGACCCAGGCGTGCGTGCAGGATCCTTCAGGATCTTGCAGCATCCTGCGAAGCCCGACTGGCCCTGGTTTGGATTGACCCGGGTCAGTCGATCACCGACAGATAGCGCAAAGACGCCCCCACTTTGCCGACTCCGAGAGGAAAAGCAAAACAAAGCAAAGCAAAACCAAAAGCAAAGTACCACACAATCTTAACCCGCGCACTCGGGCCAGCGCGGGCGCTACAGCGCCGGCGAGGAGGGAAAATCACGCTTGGCTTCACACTCCACGCATGTCACGAAGTCCAGAATTGTGACACGTTGGTGGCGTTGGCATGTGCAGCGATGGACAGCGACAGTGTCTATGATACATGTGGCGAGTGGGAGGGCAGCAACGCAGCATGAAGCTCATGCAGCCGCCATTGTCATATGTTGTTGCATGCCCATACTGAACTCAAGCCTGACGCGCAGTGGCGCGGCTCGACTGAAGGCGCTCGTCTGTTTATCATTCTTGGACGTTGATGAGTGATCGGGTTACTTCTTTCGCAGCGGAGGGGCTTGTTCTGGAGGAGGCAGCGCGGGCTGTCTTGCCATCATTGTTCATATCCAGAGCTAGGGAAGGGGAAAGAGCACGCAGCCCAGGTGGTGCAGTTCGAGGAGACCCTCATCGTGCGGGTTCGCAATTCGCCAGCAGAGTTCTCCATCCGATTCTCGGTGGGGGTTGTGGGCGCGTGCTGCGCTAATTGGGCATGTTCGGCAGAAGGGAATCTCGAAAAACAAAATGTGACATCAGTTGAGTATGTTCCTGGGCCAGGTCCCCTGCCTTTCTACAGAGCTGCGCGCAGGAATCTGACAACTTTCTTTTCTGGTCGTCGGTGCAACCTTGGAGGTGTCGGCGCGTCGCCCATGTCGGCCAGATAATCCCAAACAGACATGGCAGATTGAAAAAGGAATTGACACGCCTCCCGAATGCCCTGCGCCCCGATCCTCTAAACTTGGCCCCCCAGGTATATTCAGGACATACACAAATTGTCGGAGCTCCGCGCGGATTTTCGGGTTGGCATTGGGCTCCCTGGCGGAGCCTCTGGTGCGCGCTCCGCCGCCAGGGAAGGGGGTCTAGCACCGATCTAGGAAATCCGCGCGGACCTCCGAATGTTTATGGGTTGTGCAGTTGTTTTGATTTTCTAGCTGCGGTAGCAAGCTCGGCAGAGGCGAGTCATGGAAGCACGGAGGGACAGTTGGCCCCCCCAAAGACGGAGGAGGTGTTGTTCCCAACCAGGCGTTGACGTGTTGCATCCCTACCTACCCATCAGTCGTTGAAAGTAGATAGTTCTGGATTTTCCAAATTCCAATATATTTCAACGCCTTCCTACTTCATATTTCTACCTACTTCTTCCGCTCGATGGGTCAGCCATTTCCGTGGGATCGTTGCTGTGTTTTGGCTGCCCATGGGCCCCGCATCTTCCCCCCTGCATCGGAGTAAGGGGAGGCGACACCACCACCACCACCACCACCACCACCACCACCACCACCACCACCACCACCACCACCACCACCACCACCACCACCACCACCACCAGGGGGTCACCTCCAGCTAGAGGGCCCACGCTGCCTCCGCGAGTTGGGGATAATCAGGCGATCGCAAGCATGGATCAAGGGAGCGTGGATTAGCGACGGGTCCAGTTTCCGCGGGAATCCGCGGATTTCCGCCGCCGAACGAGGCGGCACCGGCCGCTTTTTGGGGAGGGCACCTCCCCCGACCCTTGGATTTGGAGACCGTGCGCCAAATCCATGGACCGCTAATCCATGTTTGCGCGCTCCCGAGAGAAGGGGATGTCTCGATCGAGAGGGGGCCACACCACCAGGAAGACCCTCCCTGGCTCCTCGCGCCGGTGGTGGTGTCGCATTTCCCTTGCTCCCACGGCATGCTTGTAATTGGCCCCAACCGCAGAGGGTGAAAGGGCCCTCCGACAGCAGGCGGCCGTCGGTGGCGAGGCAGGAGTGGCCAGGAGCTGGCTTTTGTTGCACCGTCTGGCGACCCCGACACCCTCGCGCCGCGAACAAGAGAACGCGGCGGCTGGTGCTCGGCCGTTTTCGACCTGCGGGAACCCTCCCCTTGCCCCAGGACCGCTAAAATGTTTGATAGGAGGAAAAGCTGGTCCCAGACCGAGGTGGGCTAGGCCTCCAGGGAGCCGCGCTGTGAGGAAAGTACGACGTCGGGGAGATCGGTTGTTACCAGGCCAGGGGGGGAGCAGGGTAGGACGGGAAGGGTACCGTCAAGTTCAGCGCCGCTGCAGTCTGGGAACAGGGTGCCGCTGGTCATTCCCAGACGGCGCTGGCGTGAAGCGTCATGTTATCAGGGGCGTGGAGGGGGCAGCTTCGGAACGGGCCTTCTCGCGAATTGTTCAAAAATTGGATCCGTCCCTCATCCATTCAGGGGCATTGTCAGGGAGGGGGGTGGGGCTCAGGGGGGACACGCATCGACCCCCAAAACCGCCCACGGATCGCCAATGTGTAGGGGCCTGGTGTGCCAAAGTACCTCGCCCGAGAGCGTGTGGAAAAGATGCGCGGGCGAGGCGGCCCCCGCACTGGAGGACAGTATCGGGGGAGAGGAGTGCAGCACTCATATGATATAGCTGCTGACCGGAAAGAGAGGAGACATGATTGGAGAAGAGGAGGAGGAAGATGGGGTGGTGGTGGTGCAACGGTGGCATGGCAGTCAATGCGTGCTCACAATTCTGCAAATTTGCGGGAAATCACAACCACCAGGAGAAAATGAATGACCGGGGCGCAACACACAAGTTGAATTGTATCCCTCAGGCCATAAGATGGATGTGAAGCACCAAGGTGCACGGCGCTTATGGCGCAATGTTCTGGCAGCTTCTCGATTATTTTGAATCCGTGCCCTTTGCTCATAGGAGAGCATAGGAGGAGGAGGAGGAGGAGGAGGAGGAGGAGGAGGAGGAGGAGGAGGAGGAGAGGAGGAGGAGGAGGAGGAGGAGGAGGAGGAGGAGGAGGAGGACGAAGGAGGAGGAGGAGGAGGGAGGAGGAGGAGGAGGAGGAGGAGGAGGAGGAGGGGGAGGAGGGAGGGGCGGAGGGAGAGAAGCATGGCCCTCCCCGGCCTCCTCGGGCTTGAAGGGCCCGAGCACGTCCTGGGCTGCCGCCTCCTCGGCGTCCCAGCCTGCCTCCATGACGCCCTCTTCTGGGACAGGAGGCGGAGCACACTCTGGGGCGGTGGGGGCGGCCGCGGCAGCATCGGGTGGAACAGGCGACGACGGAGGAGAAGAGGAAGAGGACTGCAAGCAATGCCATCTACTCATTTCTGAATTTCCTCTGCTCTGATCTTCTTTCGGCTTCTCACAAAGTCTGGTGCACATGCAAACTTCATATCCGGGTCCAGCCTGGCATGCATTTCCCTGCGGCCACGCGTCACCTCTTCGGGATCACGCATCATAGGTAGGCTGCCGTCTGCAATGTTCCTCAATGGGCTTGAAATTAACCTAGCCAGAGCAGCAGCCATACGGTTTGGGTACGTCTTCGTTGTGTTTGTTTTGAAAGAGAGCCGATCAGTAGTCTTGCCCAGCAATCTCATGTGTTCTCGTTTGCCGCGGCTGCATCTCCCCCCGTTCCCCTGAGCTGTAATATGTGTGTAGTGTGGGCATACGGATGGCAACTATCCGTGTCGGCGCACGTCCTACTTCTGCAGCAGGGAGGTCCTGGAATACACACTGGTCAAAATCCGTGGTGAACGAGATGGGGGAAGAAGCCAATGTTCTGAGCGGTCCCCACATGAAAGATGTGGGCGTTTGCTGTCTTCACACTGCTTGCTGTGGATGCTCCATCCATCACCTCGTACCTGCAACGAGGTGATCTCGTAGTAGCTGCACAAGCGCAAATAAAAAATGTGTTGCCTGTTTCCAGCTGTTCGTGTTGTCTTGTCGTAGCCCAAGGCACCCCCCAAGTGTATTCATTTGTGCGTAAAGGGGGGGGCCTTCCAGCCAGCGCGCAGCACACCATGTTTCACATGCCCCCCCCGTGTTCCAGACTCTCTGTGCTTTTATATGTCCCCTCTCTTCATTTATGGCCTGCCTCCTTGTAGGATCCCCCTTCAACGTGTGTATGGCTATGTCGGCCGAGAGCATTGTGATCTGGCAACTTGTCATGATGACTTCGGCCCCGATGCGGGGCTGAACCTCGCATGACCTTGGCATGCCAGAAAAAAAAGGGTGCAGAATGAAGACCTCCGCTCTGTGAGTGCGCATTGGGATAGCGTCCACTGCCGTGTCCTGAAAGTCCTGGGGCCGGTAAATGTAATATCGTTCTTCGTAGACGTTGTCACCTACGTTGGCGTGTGGGTCTTCTGGGGCACTTTTGGTGGCTGGATGGGGTATCTGGATATATGATATTCCTGGCCTCGTCGGTGAGCTCGTAGAGGGAATCCCTGAGAACGTTTCCAGCTTCTTTTTCTGATAGCGGCGCAAACACCCAACTGGAGTCCCAAGTGAGGCCTTCAGGGAGAACATGCGTGGTGGCTGGGAAAACTGATCTCCAACGTCTTAGTCCAGTTCTACGATGGGCTAGCATCTCTGCTGCGTCCTCTTGGGCCCATGCCCGAGCTATGTCAGCTGGATCCGTCGCTCCATGCAGGAAATAAGCTACAGAGCACCGCGCCGAGTCGACAGCCAGATTTTCTGTGATCTGCCTTCCCTGGGAGAAAGAAGTGGCACAGGCTCTGCGTGTGGAAGATGGGCCCCTCTTGAGGAATCCCTTGTGGCACCATGGGCGCTCCAAACTGCTCCTAGATTTTTGCTCCGCTTGTCGCAGTGGGTGCTCTGGATGTGTGATGGGCGGTGGCGCTCCGCATTCCCTGGCGCTGTCGAAAAGAACAGCTTGTGCTGCTGCTGCTGCAATAGAGAGGCGCCTAGAAGCAGAAACATGGTTGGCCTACGCACGCCAGAGTAGTTGCCTCCATGAGTGCAGTGGCTTGCAGATGAGGGTTTCCCAGGGACTTGGCTCGTTGTTGGGATTAGGGGGATCTTCTAACTTTTTGATAACGTGTTTTAGTCAGCCTAGGACGTTGAATACCTCTCTTAGCCAGGAGGTGGGGGAGGAGTGGTATGCCATGGCCACTAGGCTTTTGAGCACTTCGGAACCGTGGTGGAGGAACCCCCCACAGACACGTAGTCTGTGTACCCTGAGCTGTGTCTGCACATCTGCTCGTCGCATTGATGCACGAACCAATCTGAATCACGAAGTGCATCGCGATGACATGTGGCCATGCGTGCTGCAGAGCGGTACTTGGTAATACTACTGCTGCACAAGGAGCGCTCTTGCGCTTCCGTCATACCATGCCAGGTGCCAGCATCAAATAGTTCTGAGGACGTGATGAGCGGGTCCAGGAGCTGCATACTGATTGTTACGTGCGGTGCGTGCCCTTCCATGGAAGGAAAAACTTTGCGCCGTAGTTGGTGCCAGGATGATGCACATGCTCGGTGTCGGTGGGCCAGTTGAGGGCCCATGGAGGCCCTCTCGTCCAGGATGGCGCCGAGGCGGGGGTGCTGGCGGGCAGCGCGCAGCTGCATGTGACCTAGCACTTCTGTATCAGCCCCGATGAGTCCCCCCAGTTCCGTCCATAGCCGTATGATTGCTTTGTTTGATCCTGGGCCCCTGAATTGGAATACGCTTTCTGGCTAGCCTTTCTTCATGGCGAGCTGGAGCTCTCCTTCTGTGAAGGCCGTGGCTATTGTGCCGATCACATTTGCGACGATGTTCAAAAGTTTTTGCACCATGCCGATGATGACGAAAGCGCCGCCATCAAGGAAGCAGCTGTCTATGGCCTGGACAGTCTTGCCGCTACCTGCTGCAATCGTGGCCACGAGCGATCTCTTTCCTGCTGTGGGATCCTCCAAGGGGTATCCTTTGGCCGTATGCTGTGTCACTGCTGCATCGACGCATTCAGCCATCGCTGTTGCCCCCGCGATGGGTCTGGCATGGCTAATGCTGCGTTGGAGGCCCCTGCATAGTACAGCCAAGGCCCATGGTCGTTGCAAGATCATCGACCTGGGATGGGATAGCCAGAGGGGTCCGGTTGTTCGCGGCGGCGAGCGCGGCGGCCACAAAAAGGGGGCAGGTTTTTGTTAAGGGGGGACATGGCTGCCAGGGGTCGCGCGGCGGGTCATTCGGCCGTTGCCCGGTTCATTGGCAATCCTCACCATGTAGAGCACGTGGGGCACAGCGGGAGTCATCGGGCTCCCCCCGCCGCTTTTGAAGTGAGGTTGCGAGGGGTTGGGGGGGGATGAAGAGGACGTGTGAAGGCGGTGATGAGGGTTATGATGGTAGGCGCCCCAGCCATTCACAGTCTGGCAAGTGCGCCCCAGGATGCGTTCGCTTCGTGTGGAACTCGCGCGCCAGAGTGGCAGCGCCCTGCGCGACCCGCCACCCGTTGCGTTGCGCAGCTGGTGCTTCCAGCGCAACAGGGGCGCAGGGCAATTGGGTCGCGCTCGCTCGTTCGAGCTGTCCGCCTCGGGCCCTGCCCGGCCCCCCGCGAAAGCCCCCTACTCATGCTCGTCGCGCCCCCCGCTCCGCCCCCCCCCCGCCAGGCCCAATTATTTCGCGCGCTGCCCCCGGCGCCCAGAAGAGTCCGCAATAGGTAGGGGCAGTGAAATCGCCCTCCGCGCATGCCACCCCTGGCAAACAGGGGTCGCCAAATCCCGCTTCGCGCGCGGGGCGCTGGCGCCCAGGCGCCGCGGGCAATCCGAGCAGGCTTCGCCGTTCCAGCGCAGGCGGTCGCGGTCCAGGCGCAGCGGCCGCGAAACAGGGGCGATGTTTTTGTCAAGGGCGGGCGCCGGCGATAGGGTTCGCGCGGGGGGGCGGCAATTGTTATTCATCGGCGACCCCCGCCGTGCAACGCGCGCGCGGGGCGCGGCGGGAGTCTGCGGCCCTTGGCGGCGCCCTGGAACGCGCGACATCGCGCGTTCGTTTGGTTGAGGACGTGCGGGGGATGCGGGGGCGGTGGGGATGGGGGGGAGGTGGGGTGGGGTGGGGTGGGGTGGGGCGGGGCGGGGTGGGGTGGGGTGGTGTGTGCGTGTATGTGCGTGCGCGCGCGCGTGCGTGTGTGTGCGTGTGTGCGTGTGTGTGTGTGTGTGTGTGTGTGTGTGCGCGTGCGCGTGTGTGTGTGTGTGTGTGTGTGTGGGTGCGTGTGTGGGTGCGTGTGTGTGTGTGTGTGCGTGTGTGCGTGTGTGCGTGTGTGTGTGTGTGTGCGTGTGTGTGTGTGCGTGTGTGCGCGCGCGCGTGCGTGTGTGTGTGCGTATTGGGGGAGAATGGCGAGAAGGGTGCTCGACGTCGCGGCTGGGCCCCGTCGGGCAATCGCGCCGCGGCAAACGATCGTTTCGAGTGGAAGGCGCGCGTCAAGGCGGCACCCCCCCGTGCATGTGGCAAACTGCCCATTGTGCCGCGTCCCTTTTCCAATGCAAATGGTTCGTGGGGCAATGGGGGGGGCGCCTGCTCGCTCGAGCCGCATGTCTTGACCCTCGCCCCCCGCCCCCCCCTTCTTTCCCCCCTTCAGAAAACAAACAAAACTTCATGCTCATGGTCGTCGTGCGTTCGCCCCGGCTCGAACTATCATGTTCGCTGCTTCCAGTGCTTCCATGGGTCCGAAGGGGGGGGGGGGCAGGGGGGGCGGGCGGGTGAGCGGGGCGGGCGGGTGGAAGGGGGGGGATCACCCGTGAAATCAGGGGTCGCCGATTTCTGCCTTGCGCGCGGGACGAAGCGGGGCTCTGGCATGCGGTCGTCGCAGAACGTCCACGTGGACATGTTCAGTCTATGTCGGCACCCGAGGCTCTTGTGGGTCGACTTGAAGTCGCCCATGACAGGTTTGGTCGCACGCCGGTTTCGTTCGGCGCCCTCCCCCTCCCCCTGTTCAGTGCCCAACCGCATTTGGCGCATGTTCCTCGCCCCCACTTCCTCTTCATGTGCCCCTCCCCCCCTGTGCCGCCTGCGATTGCGGGGGCGGGGGCGGGCGGGGTTGGGCGCGAGAGTCATTGCCCGCGTCCCGGTTTGCTTTCGCGCTTCCCGCCCCCGCGCGGGGACGCCGCCTCTGCGCTTTGGCGCTCGAGGCGCCCGGAGTTTCATAAAAAATGCACCGCCCCCTTTTTCCCTTCCCGACTCCGCCTCGGGGTGAGGATGAGGAGAAAGGGTTTGGGCGAGGGGGGGGGGGGGGGGGCGGCGGCGCAGGGCGGGGGGCGATGACGGCGAGGACGAGGCAAGGAATGATGTGGAAGGGGGGAGGTCGAGCAGGGAGACAGGGCGACGCCAGGGGCGAAAGACAGCGGGAATGACAGCGACAGCGCCGAGCGGGATGGGGATGGGGGCGACGCGGGCGACGAGCAGGGAATTCTAAACGCTTCGCGCGACGCCACCAGCTCATCCAGCAACGATGCCCAGGCGAGTTGCACTGGTTAGGGAAAGAGGGGGGCGCGCAGAAGAACCAAAGGACCGCCGTGCCCCTTAGAAAGGGGGGAAGGGGATCGGGGAAGGACGAGATGGAGGAGGCAGGGATGAGGGGGGGAAGGGAAGGGGGGGGGGGGGCGGGGAAGTGGAGGGGGGCGAGGAGGGGTAGGGGGGTGAACGACCAGAGAGGATTTGTTTTTCCAGTGCGCCGCTGCCGACCAAACTCCAGAGTGCAAGAGATGCAGGGGTTGCCAAACGACCAGAGAGGAGGAGGAGGAGGAGGAGGAGGGGGGGGAGGAGGAGGAGGAGGAGGAGGAGGAGGAATCGGTAGGACAGTATCGAGGAAGCGGGGGGCGAGCAAAAAGGCCAAAGGCCCTTTGGATGCCTTTTCGGGGTGTCTTCGGATGTCTCTTGGGAGCTCCCCGGGGGCCTTTTGGGGCATCTTGGGGGGCCTCTTGGCGGCCCAGGGGCTTGGGTGCCTCGGGGAACCTTGTGGAAGTCTCTTGGGGGCCTCTTGGGGGGCCCTTTCGGGGTCTCTTGGGGGTCTCTTGGGGGCCTCTTCGGAGCATCTTCGGGCCTCCTGGGCGCCTGGTCGGGCAATCTTGGAAGAGATGGATCGAAGGAAGGGGGGGGGGGGGGTCCTAAATTATCGCTGCCTCATGGATAGCCCGCCTCTGGGGCCACTTTTGCGGGCGCTTTGGAGCGCTCTTGGAGCCCTCTCGGGCTTCTTTTGGCGCTCTCTTGGGCCCTCCAGGAGTCATCTTGGGCCACGGGAGGCAATCGAAAGCAAAAGAGCGGGAAGGCAAACAACGCGTAGATTTTCGGTAGGTGCTTGATGCTGGCGCCCTGGGGCGTCCTGGAGGGGAGGGGCTTCGTGGTCATTTGGAGGGCCTCTTGGAGCATGTTGGGAGCCATGTT